TGGAAATGAAAAAATGTCAGAGATTTATATTTCCTGATGACGCTAACCTGGTGAGCGAAACCGGCGTTGAAAGACTGTATTTAGACAGATGATTTAAAACGTTCCTGTTAAAAATATATGTAATTCAAGTACCTATTTCACTATTATGTCTGTAGGTACTTTCTATTCTCCATATTTCTCTCAAGAAGAATTTCATATTATACCACTATATTCTAATTAAAGTTTCACCAAATATTAAACATGCTCATAATATCGAAATGGTTTAAAAATATGCGAAGGAATTGGCTCATAGTTAATAAAAATTCATATTCCAAAGTTACGTCTGAATCAGGAGTGGAAATCATAGCCGGGATATATAGAAAATTGATGGCGTTTGTTGAAGCACTGACTTTGGTTTCTGTGTGTGCAAGAATATGAGACTATTTGTTTGTAGATATTGGTGGACTGAGTTCATATTTGAGTAGTCCTGATGTTGCAGAAATCGACTTTGACGTTGCTAGTGGGCCTCTTAGCAACTGCAATTACCATGCTAATTTCCTGTGGGCTGATGTTATGAAGATCCTTCTGACTGTCAGAAATAGTGGTTTTCGAATAACTTTTGCATGATGATGCCCTCGTATTCATGTAACACTTTATTATGAGATTTTTACTGACCAATTTAGAAAACCGTAACACGTGTTTCACTATACAATAGGTTCCTCAGGCGTGTAATTCTACTTAATCAGTGATTTATAATAATTAACAATTTTCATGATAATAATTAAACAATTTTCTCATTTTTTTTTAAATTATAGACACGTCTCGCTAACACCATAGCTTCATCGGTAGTAATAATACACTCTGGACTACGGGCCCACGCGAGGTCCTTCTCGGGTCCCTCGAGTTGCGTCCCATGGTCAAAATTTGTACCTGAAATTCCGTCCGGCGTGCCCCTCACCTGAAAATGCAGAGAGAGAAATGTAAAGCAATTGCAATTATTGGAGTAGATGTAAAATCTAATTATGTCACGTAACCCAAAATTTGAAACCATTTTTGGCTTCTTGTCACGGTTACGAACGCATCGCACCCTATTGAAACGAGCAAATACACTTCGTTATAATGATTGTTATAAGTGTTTTCTTGAATTATTTTATAGTTTTCTTTTCTGAAGTTTCAATCCTGAGGTTTTCCAATTTTTATTTGAATAAGTAAATAGATCGACTTTCCAGAATGTCTAGAGGTAGGCTATTATATACAATTTCGTACCCAAATAATAATAGCTTCGTTCTCCAAAGGATCTTTGTGTCTGAGGACATTGAAATTAAATGTGGTGCCTTGTATTATAGTTATGGGTGACCACATTATTTTTATATTGTCTGATACTGCTTTTTTTTTAATTAAGCTGTCTGACGTGTAGTATACCTGATTCTTCATATAACGTTCACTTGGAAATCTTGTCCTTTTGGAAAACATCAGTTTGAGAAAACGCTTTTGAATAACCCTGAGTGGGCGTAGATAAGTTTTAGATATTCCTCCCCATCCTAGAAGGCTGTAGCTCAGGTGACTTTCCACCAAACTGTAATTTAATGTGTATCTATCATAATTCCGAAAGTATTTGATGGTATTTACAGAATATATTTGTAGGTTACTTGGCAAAGTGAGTAGTTGAAAACTTGGCAAGGTAGTTTCATATGTGGTAAAGGGTATAGAGATTGTTTTATAAATATTGATAGTTAGTAATCTGTTGTCAAAAAAATGTTTTAATTAGAAAAATATCTACTTCCATAGAGTTTTCAGACTGGTCCAGTCTTGTCCCTTATAAAGAATTACCGTATCATCCGCAAAGCTAGTTGTTTTTCCTTCAGACTGTATTGAAAATAATACATTCACATAAATCGAGAAAGAATAGGCCCTAGCACTGTACTCTGAGGCACACCACATTCAATTTCCCTGAACTCACTGTAAACCTCGTTGATTTTAACACATTGTTGACGCTTATCAAGGTAGCTTTTGAAAAGTTCCAGACAATTATCCCGTAACCCATTATTTTGAAGTATTGATAGTAATATGGCATGGCTGACGGTATCAAATGCCTTCGCCAGATCTATAAAAACACCAATGCAAGGTTTGCCCTCATCGAATGCTCCGTAAACATAGTTTCTGAGTTCAATTATAGCGTCTTCGGTTGAGTTGCCTTCCTTGAAACCGAACTGCATTTCAGATAGTAGTTTATACTTATGCAAATATCTCGAGAGTCTATTTCTCAGTATTGTTAGCATTGACTAACAATATTCAACGTTTGGCTTGCATTCACAAACAGTGCAGAAGTTTTTGAAGATAGCCAAAGACGGACGCATTGTGGAATCAGTGCTCAAGCATACAGATCATTGGAAAGACGACAAACACCTTTTAAAGCTTTTCAGCACCTCCATTCAAGCTGCTCATGCTGAAATGTTGAGAACTGGCGCTCCAAAACTGAGCCCACAAGATGTTGCTCTAATTCGCTATAATGATTTTCATGATGCTCTTAATAGTTATCTCATTCAATTGATAAATAGAAATGGCCAGGTAAATGGACAGGAGGTACATTTTGAGGTAAGAGGTAGAATTTTTAAAACGATTACAACCTGAGTTTTTGGACAGTAGGTAAATATTGACAATGGTGAGTGGTTCATCTTTTTTGAATGTTAACAATTTGAATCATAAGACCTTCTACCTAACCAATGGTTAATGATGTAACCTGAGTTTTGAGGTATGAAACTAGTTACAAATTCAAATATCAGGAAAGAAATCTTACGATCTCTTCTAAATAGACATGCGTAGTGAATGAAAATTACCCGAGTTTGTATATTACCTAATTACCAGTTTCTACATTAGAAAAAACATTCAATAAAGAGGAAGTATTCAATTCTATTCGATAAAATTGACTAGTTTTCCCTTATTAAGACTTTTTTCTAATCTCTAAGCTGATGATGCTAACTTGTCTCTCGCGTCGAGAGACATGTTTGTTCTGCTGAGAAAAGTGTGTTTTAGTGTTCAATAAATTCATTTCACGCCAGACGTTTCAAATTCTGGTCATCAAACTTTTATTATTTCGTTTGAAGACTTTGACAACTTCCAAATGTTTACATTCAATCTAAATCCAAAAAATGAGAATCAGGTAGCCGGGCTGTTTGACGTGAGTGTTTTGTTCACTCTCTCAATGTGTGAGTCCATGGTTTAAGCCGCAGACTGAACCCTCGATTTTCCCTTGCTATCGTCCAACACGTGTTAGGAATCACACGTTAAAAGGTAAGACCTCGTTAGTCCTTAGCTCGAACAAGTTTCGACTTCTGACGGTTGTCATTCATATGGGTGTGACAGCTGGTTAACGAAAAAACATATTTTAAACATATATCTCATAGTATTGCAGCAATTTAAAATTTATCACTTTTTGTCCAAAAATATTCACCAATTTTCGTAGAATGGAATGAGAATTTCAAGTTTGAATCCAATAAAAACACTTCTCCCACATACCTTTCTCGATACGACTTTCACCAACCATGTTGGTGCCATCGGGGGATGATTTGAACTATTCCCCAAACCTAATCCCAGATCCAACAATATGAACCCTCACAAAACGAATGTGCTGGGTTTCTGTGAAAGTGAAGATTTTTTGTAGATACAAATTGTCTTAGCGTTTCACTGACATAAAAACTTGGCAAGTTGACTTGGGTGTCACACCAATAGGTGGTTCCACTTAAGTCTCGCTTGTGTTTACGCAGTTATTTTTATCAAGCAATTTTCTTAGTTATTCACTTTTTGTCTTCAATTGGGGACCTTGTCTGGTACTGACGATGCCAAACAGGCTGAAACAGCTGTTTAGTCCAGTTTACATGTACCATTTTCTTCTATAATTATTATATAGTCTCCGAAAATTACGATCAAGGTGTCATTCAATTTGTATTGTCATGTAGAAAGTTCGAGAAGTCAAAAAGTTCGAGAAGGCACTGAAAACAATTACAAAGTCATAAACAAATTAGTAAAAAAATTGAGGTTTGGGTTTTTTTGGTAAGTAGTCCACTTGAGACTTGCAATTAGGGGATGAGTAAAGCATTACTCCAAGAAGAGAAAAAACAATATAGTCAGTTTTAGAGTTACTTAACCAGATCAAACTTCAACTGTGCCTCTCAGATGTTCTCCTCTGATTTAATAAGGGAAAAATTTGTTTCAATGTTGTATCATTTGCGAAGAGGACCTCAGTGCTCGGCACTGCCACATAAGTCATCGATGTAGATCAATAACAGTAACAGACCCACTACCGAGCCCTATACTCTGTTGTTGATGAATAAGAGTATTGTTTATTGAAGTACATAACTTGCTTACTGTTGCACATGTAGGAAGTTATGAGCTGTAAGTTTTTCACCAAAGAGATTCAGTCGAAGGCTTTTCATATTATTTATGGAATCCCCGATTTCATTTGGTGTCCATTCCAGTTTCATCTCATATGATGTAAAACTATTTTGTGGTAAATTCGACAAATCATATATACTCTAGCCAGTCTTATCATATATACTCTAGCCAGTCTAGCTGTTTTCCATAAACTACAAAATGTATTCGTTGACATTATTAGTTTGAACAAATATAAGTGAGGCATTCAAAATATTTTTCAATTTTTTTTCATGATATGAAACCGACGAAGGCCCGCACAGTAAGTTTTTTTTAATAATTGAGAGTTTAAACTGTCGATTATGGCTAATTAATTATAAAAGTAATTCTTTGTGATGGTTCAGCTAGTCATAGATATTTGATACAGTGTACCTTTTAATCAATTATGGATGTCATAATTCTATTCTAATTTTGTTCCATGTATTATTTTACCAAATTGGTGTTTCCCACAAATCTTAAAAACTTTTGATCAGATTTACTTTACTGTTGTTTTAAAAAATTCGTATTCATACAAAACTGGAGATCTCCAAATCAAAAATGTCTAATCTCTTACATGATTCCTAAACTTTTTTCCAGGTAACAAAAAAAGAAGATAAAAACATAACATTTTATTAATCAACGAGTGGAATTTTGAATATACATGTACGGAGTGGTGAGGCAACTTAAATAAAACTTCACAGGCTATCTAACTATAATAAATTGTTAGTTGACACAATAAATAGCCTTTACAATATTCGTCTGGAGATTTTAGAGGCAGCAGGCTTCTCAAACCAAAGACAAGCGACGCATCTCTTTCAGCAGCTCGTTGCCCATCTGTGCAGGAGATTTTGTTACTATAACTCCTGCTTTCTCTAAAGCGTTGATTTTGTCTTGGGCACCACCTTTACCTCCTGAGATTATAGCACCTGCATGACCCATTCGTCGACCAGGAGGAGCTGATAAACCAGCAATAAATGATACCACTGGTTTGGCATTTGTGCCCTGAAAAAAAAAAATTGAAACAGAGTAGAATAGAATACATTTATTCCCAACAAAACATGATAAATATGTATAGAAATTTTCAAGTCAGCGCTGCATCAAAAGACAAAGGGAAAAGGATGTACCTTTCAACAAAAAATACATTGAAAAATGGTTGAATCATGCCTAGAAAATCAAAAACAATTCACAAAAACTATAATTTCATCTAAATTGGAAAATATAAAGTCAGGCGTCTCCAAGGGTATTCATTTGCTCATAACATTCTAGGAAAATTTGACATGACTGGGTCAAAACATTGTCAAAAAACAAGACATTTTATTACATGCGTAACGCCTTAGCAAAACATGGAATTTTTTAAAGTTTATTTTCATTTTATAGAACACCACCAACAACTTTGTTTAAACAAGCAGTTACTTGGTTCTCAAGTGCAATTTTATCTGAATCCTGAACTATGAAAAATTTAAAATAGCAAGGTGCCTAATATAGGTCCTTGAGGAACTCCACTTGAAATCTCATTCCAGTCGAAGTGAAGTTTTGTGTATCTTCAGTCGAGTTAACTGAGATGTTTCAGATTTTGAAAGAGATATGGGCCCACTGGGGCTCATGTTAAACGATTGATTGAAGCATCTTTTTTGAAAGTTTCCTCAAAATATTGCCGTATCCTGCATAGTTCTTCCATTCCATTTATACTAACAAAGAACTAACAAAGATTAGAGAGAATCTGTCGCTGTCCTTGAATTTTACTAGGTGTATACGAAGTGCTTTTAAGAATTGTATCGATCACTAAAATGCTTGGTGAAAGTTTTATGGATTTTCAAGGTACGACTGACAAGTCATTTGAACATAATAAAGATAAATTTTAGAAAATACTTGAACTGCTATCTGAATTTGATAGAAACAGGTGTGGATAGTGCTCAAAAAAGATGCTACTGAAGCTCACTATCTCGGGAAAAACGTACAGAACGAATAAGTAGACTTGTTGTATCAAAATATAATATTCCATATTGTAACTGAAAGAAAAAAAAGCCAAATACAATTCCATAATATTTCAGATTGCACTCCTAACGTTAGTAAGATGGAGCAACTGACTCATGTTATCAGATATGTTTCTTTTAATAAATCAAATTCCAATTTAAAATGAAAATTAATGAAACAAATGTCTGAAGTTATAATTGACAACTCAATGATTTGGATATTAGAGGGCAGGGATACGAAAATGGAACAAATATGAGTTGATAAAGCAGTAGTCCAATCTAAAATTATAAATTTAAATGAACGAACGTTATACTTTTTATGTAGTAGCTACTTTCTCAATATGGTATATGATTTTGCAAAACCGTCCTTGAAAGCATCTAATATTTTTAATACGGCCAAAAAAATTGTACATATTTTTTCGACATCTACTTTTCGATGGACAATACTTATAAACCATGTCCAATGATTAACTTTGAAATCATTGAGTGACACTAGGTGGGAGAGTAGAGTAAAGGACTTAAAGTCTTTCAAGATTTCATACAGGTGATGTATATGTTTTGCTATGCGTATAATAACAGTTGAAGTTTTTGATTGATAGTTATTTGGTGTAAAAATTAAACTGCAATAATCCTCTAAACAAACTGATGCAAACACAAGAATTCGATTCAGCCTTTCGACTGTATAGATGTAAGAAGTAATGCAGATTTATCAGTGGAAAGAATATGCGAACTTGTAGCATGTTTTATAAAACAACTCAATATCATAGTAATTACAATGAATAGAGCTTTCCTTTTAGGGAACATTGATAACTTTATAAACATAATNTATGTATTTTTTTCTTGTTCATAATTTTAAAAAAATGTTTGGGGTGGAGTACCCTTATCACTTAGAGGTATGAAGAAGTTATATCAGAACTACTGGAGAGCCAAAAAAAATAAACGAAATATTATAATTTGAGACCTAAAACAGTTTCAGGCTCACACTCCCGAAGGACATGTTCAGCAATCAAACAAAAATACAATGTGAATCTCACATTGAAAACAATTGCAATATAGGGAAGCAAAGGATGATTTCTCGAAGACGATTAAATGTGTTAACAACAGACTACCATAGTAGATGAAACAACTGAAAACACATTCTCTGTTCCTGTATCAAAAAGTCTGTCATGCATCAAATTTCGTGAAACACTATATCCTTACTAAAAGCACAATATACCAATAGGACTTTTCTATAGCATTCTATAGCAAAATTAGTAACACTACTTACTGAATTATGCTTCATGAGATATTCGGCAGCCTGTTCTTCAGCCACACCCCCGATCTCTCCAATCAAAATAATTCCTTTAGTTTCAGGATCGTTCAAGAACACCTCCAAGCAATCAATGAAATCAGTACCATTAAACGGATCACCACCAATACCTACACAGAGTGTTTGTCCCAAACCGACTTGTGTAGTCTGGTGAACCGCCTCATATGTGAGGGTTCCAGATCTAGATACAACTCCTACGATTCCTTTTTGATGGATATGTCCTGGCATGATGCCAATTTTGCATTGTTCGGGAGCGATAATACCTGGGCAGTTTGGACCAATCAATCTAGATTTGGATTGACGAAGGAGTTTGTGTTTTACTCGAACCATGTCGTGCTGGGGAATACCTTCTGTTATACAAACAATGAGTGACATTTCTGCATCTATAGCTTCCAAAATGGCAGCTGCAGCTCCTGGAGGAGGGACATAGATAACGGTAGCATCAGCTCCAGTGGCAGAACGTGCCTAAGAAAGAAAGAAATAGTGTTGATAATAAGCATGAACACCGCCTTTGAGAGTCACAAATTTTCAAATTATTTATATTTCAGGCTGTCTTGGTTTTTACACAACATTTCATTGGCAACATTAATATTTTAAAAAATATTTGATTCTTATAGAAATAAAAATTTACTGATTCACTATAGTCAGTGCGATATAATTTACTTAATAAGCAATTGGCAGTATATACCGATAATAGTCAATATGAACGTCAATTACTGATTTCATACATCAATACTAAAATAATCTATACTTTTTATGTAGTAGCTACTTTCTCAATATGGTATATGATTTTGCAAAACCGTCCTTGAAAGCATCTAATATTTTTAATACGGCCAAAAAAATTGTACATATTTTTTCGACATCTACTTTTCGATGGACAATACTTATAAACCATGTCCAATGATTAACTTTGAAATCATTGAGTGACACTAGGTGGGAGAGTAGAGTAAAGGACTTAAAGTCTTTCAAGATTTCATACAGGTGATGTATATGTTTTGCTATGCGTATAATAACAGTTGAAGTTTTTGATTGATAGTTATTTGGTGTAAAAATTAAACTGCAATAATCCTCTAAACAAACTGATGCAAACACAAGAATTCGATTCAGCCTTTCGACTGTATAGATGTAAGAAGTAATGCAGATTTATCAGTGGAAAGAATATGCGAACTTGTAGCATGTTTTATAAAACAACTCAATATCATAGTAATTACAATGAATAGAGCTTTCCTTTTAGGGAACATTGATAACTTTATAAACATAATGCTTAATATTTTTGAAATCATAGAAACCTTCAACAACTCTAGAACTGACAAAATGGTTAAAGTTTTCGAAGCCGAGGTTTTCAGTGACATATTTTTCGAATTTGAAGGGCAGAATAAACTATTAATATTTACCAAGAAGGTCTACAATGAAAAGCGTCTCTTAGATAGTCCTAGTTAAATCATGACTATATGGCAGATAATAAATGAAGAAAAAATAACAAAATTGCTTCCCGCTGTCTGTCCCTATGTATGCTTAGATCTTTAAAACTACGCAATGGATTTTCATGCAGGTTTTCTTAATAGATAGGTGATTCAAGAGGAAGGTTTAAACGTATATAACATGCATAATATAGTAGATAAACACCGATAATATTAGAGGTTTCTGATGTGATGTCGTAAATGAACGCATTTTTTTGCGCTTACATTGTAAACGCTGCACAGAGCGGTAAAAGCACCTAAAACGTGGCCAAAAATAAATTCTCACTTTTTTAAATGTTATGGATAGAAATTGACATATTGTGATATTCTTAATAAAAAAGAAAAATCAATAATGAAGAAAAAATAAAAATTTTTTTTTGAAAAAAGGTTTATTACATAAGACATAAAATGAGACAAAGGCAAATAATAACATTATTACAAATAAATAGAACTAAAAAAAATATGGATCTTATTAGCATAGTCAACAGATTTCACTTCAACATAAGTTTCAATGAATATTATTCCTGAGGAAGGCTGTCATCCAATTTAAAAAGCTGATAAGGCTCAGCACTAAATGGTTGCTTTGGTTTGTTTTGTTTTCGCCTCATGCTACTAAGGTATGGATCCGAAGTAAGCAAAAGTTGATTAAGTATATCTTCGTTGCACTCTCTTCTGGAAAACTTTCTAGAAAAACTATCTCGGAAGTGTTT